GTTCGAGGGCAAATTGAAAGGCCCAACGAACCCTAAAACATATTGCTGCATTTTATTATGTTTTAAAATTAACAATTTTTAGAGATGAGCCGAGAGCCGTTCCAATGGACCTGATTCGGCCCTGTTGCATTCCAATTTAATGCATTTTTGCGCCTCTGGCCAAACAAATTACTCAAAAATGGCGCATAAATTAATGGATGAGGTAGAGCAGTTACTAGAGAGAATACTAAACTAGACGACTGACTAGTAAAAATTAAAACATTAATCTGAAGCTCTGCCGACGACAGTTGAGCATGCATAACAATTAATGCTGGGCCTTAAATTTATTAATTTATTTATAAAATCAAAAAAGGGCAGCAGAAAAAAAATGAGGCACAAAAAGAGGTGCGAATGCGAACTTAAAGAGCTACAGAACAGAAACCCGACTTGGCTGTACCGCACAAAAAAACGAGAAAGAAAGGCTATCTTCTGCACGCCGAAGATCTAATACCCTTGCAGACCCAACCTTTTCATAATGCTTATAGTGCTTTGCCCGTATCTAAGAAGCACAGGGAAAATAGTTCATGCCGAGTTTGGGCAAGATATTTTGAAAAGCAAAATGTTTTTTCATACAACAACATAATTTTCGACCGATCGTTCCTATGGCAGCTATATGATATAGTGGTCCGATCCAGCTGGTTCATATATGTGCTGCGTGCAACAGAAAGACGGACTTTTGCAAAATTTCATTAAGATAGCTTTAAAACTGAGAGATTAGTTCGCATAGAAACAGACAGACGGACAGACGGACATGGCTTTAGCGATTCGGCTGTTGATGCTGATCAAGAATATATATACTTTATGGGGTCGGAGATGTCTCCTTCTATGCGTTACACATTTCACGACAAAATTATTATACCCTCTGCAAGGGTATACAAAACAGAAGTATACATAAACTTAACGAGAAACAGAACTCCAAATGGTTCTCAGTCTTTGTATAGTCTCGGTGCTGGGTTCTCTTAGCTGGCTTTGAGAGGGATGAGGCAGCGTATTTTTGTTGCTTTTTGTGTGCAGTTTTTAAAAATGTCCGTACGCCCTCTAGGGACAGATTAGCGATTAATCTATGGGGCATGGTCACATGCACGTCCTACACTTGCCTGCAAGCAGCCAGCCAGCCAGCCAGCCAGCAGCTAGAAGCGTCCTGTGGAACGTGGTGGTACGAGGTAACGATTAAAAAATCTCCACAGTAAAGACTGAGCACTTAATCAAAGAGGATTTAGAGAGGAATAGAGCCAAAGCCCAGTGCATAGAGCCCAAGCTCAAGCCAAGGCAGCCAAAGCGTTGATGCGGCGCTTTGTTTTTAGCTGATTTTTTTTCACATAAAATGATGCTGCAAATACCCTATAAAAGTCAGTGGGTACACCTCAACATGAGGCCGTAAGAGTTGGCTTTGAATGTAGCTCCCTATTCCCCATTTTAACCATTTTTGATTATATTTGATTTTCTCAGTGCAAGATTTTTCTTGCAGTGCAACTCGATTCTTAGTCCTGTAAATTGTCACAACTTCGAGACAGATCTTACGCACGATCCACGGCACAGGTAGCTCAGCACTTGTGACCATTTGGATGGACAGGCAGATGTTTGATAAGAACTCAGGTAGTTGGCAAATATATATAGTGAACTTGTTAAGGGTAGTTTTGCGCACTATTTATATAAAGGGACTAGCTATTGATTTTCTTCAGTAGAGGTCAAACAGCAGACAAGTGTTATTCAACGTTTCGGTATTGGGAACACGGTCAGTGAAAATAAGCAAATATCTAAGAAATTTAAAACAGTTTAATTTAGTTGAATGTTTTGAAACTATTTTACAAATATTAAAGACTAATACATATTGAAATTAATTAGGAAACATTTGTATCAATTTTTTGAAAATCGAATTATAAATAAATGATAAAGATAATCGAACTAATTAAGTTTTAGTTTTAGTTCTTTTCAAGAACATTTGATAGAAATTTAGTCTGGGACTTATTCTTATCAATATGTTGATTCGCTCTCGACAGAAAAACTTAATTTTTATTAGTTTATAAGGTCGTAATTCCCTTTCTGAATCTGCACTTTTAAAGCAAATTCTATTTATCTTTCGAATTTTTCAATTAATATTCACAGATAGAGCATCACCTAGTCATTTTGATTCATAAAAAAATTATCTCTACTTGGGGTTTTTACTACATATTACAAGCAGTTTTATTTCGCTGAGCGTTGTTCATAGTTTCTGGTGCGCTTTTTCATTTGCGCTGCCAACTCACAACTCCCCCCTCTGACACCCACCAACAGGCAAGTCCCCTCTCCATGCCACACCGCTCTGATGGCTGCGGGGCTGAGCTTCCAACTTGCAGCTCGCAGTTGGCAACTCATAAAAGACCTTAAATAGTGGCAAAGACATTTCAGACATTGCCGCGCGTTGCTGCATTTGTCAATTTGCTATGAGTTGAAAGGGGCGTGGCCGGGCATAAAAATGATATATGTGCGCGCTGAGTTAGCAATTTTCGTATGAATTGGTAAAACGACGCCGACATTCGCTTTATGAATTTCTTTATGGGCAAAACTATAAAATATTTTGATTGTATTTCATGTGAACTGAAATTAAGCGCTTGTTGCACTTTATTCCATCTGTCTGGCTGCTTGTTGCGAACGCTTGATTCGCCTACGAGAGGATTTAGAAGCGTACTCTCCCTGCCGCCCCTCTGGCAGTGTTAACGGGTCTGTGTTGCAATTATGGCCCAGTAACCGCAACAGGGGTACACAGGCCTTGGCTCAAACACTGCTCGCATTTCGTCATAAGCCCTTTACAATTTTTGCGGTATTTGCCCGTAATCCTTTTGTGTGCTAATTGGAGCGTTGCTAGGACCATAAATACCCCAGAAAATGAAAACGAGCGGCAAAAATATTTGCCAAAATATTTGGCATAAGCATTTACCGCCGCTTCTGACATTTAAAAGCCGCTTAGATCTACCACTTGGCCAAAAGCGACCTACAATGTAAATGTTCTTTATGCCTTTTAATTGCTTTAGCTTTGTGGTCACACTTGGCATGACGTCGACGCAGCTGGCGTGGCAAACAGTACGAGAGTGGGGAGCATGCAGTAGTTACACATATCATTTCGATTGCCTCTACAACTTGCGTTTTCAGCCAAAGCTCAAATCTCTGTTAATTACATTTGTTTTAGCTAACATTTTCAAATCGAGACGAGGACTTACTGCGGAAGCACTAGAAGTGCCAAGAGTTGATAGTTCAAAGTTCAAGAATTAAACCAATATATTCGTATATATTTATCAATTTTATACCCTGCGATGTAGTTATATAAATATATATGCTGTATCTCAAATAATACCCTCTATACTCTGGTTGTCTAGACTGCCGTGAGTGTCATATCCTCACCTCATATTCTTATCCATTCCCTTAACTTAAATACAAGGTATAAATATTAAGATCTGATTACACTATATTCTTTAGGTGTAGAATAACCTAAAATGTACTATGTATACTATTGGCTATTTCTGATACCATATTATTTTGTATTTTGTTTTTCAAAAGTTCATTCAATTATAGATATTTAGATCCGCTTGCAGTGTATACTTTGTATTATACACCTTAAATACATGTCTATATTATTGGGTATTTCTGACACATTAAAAACATTATTATTATTTTACAAAAGCTCGTTAAACTTTTTAAGATTGTTTATGGAGTAATATACTTACAACCATTCAATCAGTTTTAAAATAATATTCCTAAATAAACCAATTAATTTCACAAACAGCAGTATCTTTTTTTAAAGAGTTTAAAGAACAAACGAAGAGGGCTTAGCTCGTTATTATGTTTCGTTTTCATTATGTTCCATTCAACATTGTCAGATTTCATTTGTAGCTCGCGCTGTTAACAGAAGCTGTTAAAATATTCAAAATAGTCTAGTAAAAAGAATCTTACAGATAAGATAGTTGCGCGTTGACTCTGTGTGGAGAGCGAGTTAATAATAAACTAATAAAACATTTAATTGCGCCTTATCAGGCCAGAGAAGATGTTGTCGAAGCTCTTATCTAACCCAGACTCACCCGCTGTAAAAATGCAGCTCAACTTATTGTCGTACGGGCTAAACGCAGTCTGGCATCAGCTGCTGAAAGCTATTGATGGAACGGAAATTCGTGTGTTGATAGTAAACTAACTAAACTAAATGTGCTTTAAATAATACAATAAAAAGGCTGGCGTGAGTGGCGTATATAATTCCCCATTTTGATAAGCCTGGCATTGAGCGCCCCAAGACAAATGCAATGTGCAAAGGGCAAATAAACAACATATAGGCTTAAATTTTATCATACACAAAGTGATTGCACTCGAAATCATTTCCAACGATCTATATAATAATCATTTGAGACGTGTTTCTAAATTTTTGCAGAATCCAAACTTCTTCGGAAGAAATGCGATTCTAAGATTTTTTGGGCGACGTTTAGAGTATTGTTCGATTTGCTTCAAACTTATTTTCAATGCTCTACATAAAAACTTTATGAATACGTGTTTCGGCGATTTAAAAAATTCCTCCCGCAACTGTTGAAATTTGGCAAAAAAACGTGTATTAACTTTTTGGTTTATTATCGGTTTCGAACTCATTTTCAAAGATTTTTATCAAAACTTTTTTTCATGCCATCGCAAAGTTCGCCACTATTGGATGGAAAATTCGGTCTGTAAACGCAAGTTTTTTATTCGCCCTCAAGATTCTTACCATAGACTAACAGGGCGAAAACCTCTGATACCAACATATCCTTCTTTATTCGATGAACTTTAAACTTATTTTAAATAGAAGTGGGGATCAAGATCCACGTGCGTGTACGCAGCACACAACGTTCTACGGGCAATACCCTCTAGTGTATATATATATACCCACATAAATGTGTCCAATTAATTAAGAAAATCAAGTTCACATTTGAAAAAACTGTCAACAAACATTAAATTAAGTTTATACACTCAGTACACACACATTATAGGGATAATCAACATTCTAATTCATGCTTTCCTAGTTTTTTATGTTTTCTTCGTCTTTGTGCTACTTAAGATAACAAACGAAGGTACACGATCTAATTATAATGGGCGATCAACCGAAGAAGAAGAAGAAGGAACCGGTCCCGGTGGAGAAGACGGCCGATCCAATTATCTCCCAGATCGGCGACTTTAAGCGTTATCAGTTCTGGTTTTGTATGCTGATATTTTTAAGTAAATTTGGCACGGGCTGGCACACACTGGCACACATATTTTTGGCGGCCCCCACCCCCCTTAGTTGCGCAACACCAAACGTGACAGATGCGTGCAGCGACGACTGCGATAAGATCGATTTCGACACAAGCGTATTTGAGACCACCATAGTTACAGAATGGAATCTTACCTGTAAAAAATCTAGTTTGGCCAGTATGTCACAATCCATTGTTATGGCTGGCATTATGTTTGGCAGTATTGTCTTTGGCATGATCGCAGATCGGTAAGCTATACACAATATACCTTTATATATTTATATAATTATTTACGTATATATATTTGCAGTTGTGGTCGTCGTCCTGCATTTTTGGGCTGCTGCTTCATGCAGCTAGGCGCTGGCTTGATCGTCTGTCTGTCCCCGTATTTTTGGTTCTACTGTCTCTTCAGATTTCTGACGGCTTTTGCCACAGGCGGCACCATGACAACCAGGTAAAGTGCAAACCACACTCACTAACTTTAATGCCTACATATAACAAACTTTTTCATTGACCCATAACCCACTTTGTGGTCGTATTCTGAGAAATGTGTGAAACACTTCGTAAATGTTAAAAAAACATTGAATATTAGTTTCAAGCTTCAAGCCGTTTCCTCTAATTTTCCACTCTTGCGGGTGGAATTCGCCAAAAATTCTAACAGAAAAAATGCAGATGTGCGTTGATCACCAATCAGTCTGTAAGTCGAATATATGTAGTTATCTAGTCTATATCAAAACTGATTTGATATTTCGTGTGCTTCACGATGCCTGGCGAAATGAGTGTTTATGTTTATGTAGGTTTGGTTAGAAAGTAAGGAAATTTACCTTTAAGTAAACTTTTGAAATACTGCAATTTTGGATTCGATTTGAATTTAATTATCGTTTTTCTTGCCCCTCTCTCTCTCTCTCTCTCTCTCTCTCTCTCTCTCTCTGTCTCTCTCTCTCTGTCTCTCTCTCTCTCTCTCTCTCTCTCTCTCTCTCTCTCTCTCTCTCTCTCTCTCTGTCTCTCTCTCTCTGTCTCTCTCTCTCTGTCTCTCTCTCTCTCTCTCTCTCTCTGTCTCTCTCTCTCTCTCTCTCTCTGTCTCTCTCTCTCTCTCTCTGTCTCTCTCTCTCTCTCTGTCTCTCTCTCTCTCTCTCTCTCTGTCTCTCTCTCTCTCTCTCTCTCTCTCTCTCTCTCTCTCTGTCTCTCTCTCTCTCTCTCTGTCTCTCTCTCTCTCTCTCTCTTTCTCTCTTTCTCTTTCCCTCTCTCTTTCTCTCTCTCTTTTTCAACAGCTTTGTGCTCATCATGGAAATAATAGGACCGAAGAAACGCGAACTAGTTGCAATTCTGTATCAGATACCATTCAATATTGGCCACGCCTCCCTGGCGATATTTGCCTACTTTATACGCACCTGGCGCTGGTTTCAGTTCGCCGTGACAATATTTTCGGTCGTGTTCGTGCTCTACATATTCCTGGTGCCCGAGTCTCCACGCTGGTTGTTTACGACAGGACGTGTGGATGATTCCATAAAGATATTGGAAAAGATAGCTAAAAGAAACAATGCGCCCACCGAAACCATCCGTCCGGAGATAGAGGCCGGCTATAAAGTGCTGGCTGCCAAAACGCCTACAAAAAAGGGTAACGTGATCGATCTTTTTCGAACGCCCTTTTTGCGTGTGAAGACCTTTTGCATGCTCGTTCTTTGGATGGTGATTTGCATGGTCTACTATGGCACCGCCCAGTATATATCCAAACTGGGTGGCAATATATTCCTTAACAACCTAATCGCCGCTGGGCTAGGTATACCCGGTACTCTGCTCTGTGTGGTCTTGACTAAGTATTTGGGTCGCAAGATAACAATGATGCTGTCCAATGCGCTTAGTGCAATTGGCCTGTTAGCTTTGGTGTTTCTGACTAATATCGATATGCGGATTCAGGTGGCCTGCGCCACACTAGGACTATTTGGTGCGTCGATATCATTTCCCAATGTGTATCTATGGGGCGGTGAGATATTTCCGACTGTGGTGCGCTCAAATGGTTTGGGTCTGTGCTCAATGATTGGCCGTATTGGAAGTCTCTTAGCACCGCTCATTTGTGAACTGTCCCAGTTTAAGTTATGGCTAACACCACTCATATTCGGTCTCTTTGCGGTATCGGCTGTGATTTCAAGCATCTTTTTGCCAGAGACACGTGGCACCCCGTTACCGGAGACATTGGAGGATGGTGAAAACTTTGGACGAAAGGCAAAGGAGTAACTGCGCAATGCAGAATACTCAGATTATACCAGACTTCTACGCAAGCCAAGTAAGTAAACAGTTCCAACTAAAGTCTATTATAGACCCAGCTCAATTTGGCCAAAAATTCCAGCAACAAAATATATAACAAGAAGGATAGTTGGAGGGGGGTGTGGGGTCTAAGCAGTAGGTACATATATCATTTCAATTGCCTCTACAACTTGCGACTTTAAGGCAAAGCTCAAATCTCTGTTAATTACAAGTTGTTTTAGCAAAAATGTTTAAATCGAGACAAGGACATACTGCGCAAGCACTAGAAGTGCCAAGAGTTGATAGCTTTTTAAAAGTTTCAAGAATTAAGCCAATATATTCGTAATTATTTATCAATTTTATCCTGCTAGCAATACCCTGCTATGTAGTTTTATACATATATGCTGTATCTCAAATAATACTCTCTATACTCTGGTTGTCTAGACTGCCGTGAGTGTCACCTCATATTCTTATCCTCCTCCTTAACTTGAATACAGGGTTTAAATATTAAGATCTGATTACACTATATTCTTTATATTCTACACCTAAAATGTACTGTGTATACTATTGGCTATTTCTGATACCATATTATTTTGTATTGTGATTTTCAAAAGTTCATTCAATTATAGATATTTAGATCCGCTTGCAGTGTATACTTTGTATTATACACCTTAAATACATGTCTATATTGTTGGGTATTTCTGACACATTAAAAACATTATTATTATTTTACAAAAGCTCGTTAAACCTTTTTAAGATTGTTTACCGTTTAATTAATTTAATATACTTACAACCATTCAATCAGTGATTAAATAATATTACTAAATCCAATTGATTTCACAAACAACTCTGTAAACAGTATTTTTTTAAAGAGTTTAAAGCACAAACGAAGACGGCTTAGCTCGTTATTATGTTTCGTTTTCATTATGTTCCATTCAACATTGTCAGATTTCATTTGTAGCTCGCGCTGTTAACAGAAGCTGTTAAAATATTCAAAATAGTCTAGTAAAAAGAATCGAACAGACTAGATGGTTGCGCGTTGACTCTGTGTGGAGAGCGAGTTAATAATAAACTAATAAAACATTTAATTGCGCCTTATCAGGCCAGAGAAGATGTTGTCGAAGCTCTTATCTCAACCCAGACTCACCCGCTGTAAAAATGCAGCTCAACTTATTGTCGTACGTGCTAAACGCAGTCTGGCATCAGCTTCTGAAAGCTATTGATGGAACGGAAATTCGTGTGTTAATAGTAAACTAACTAAACTAAATGTGCTTTAAACAATACAATAAAAAGGGTGGCGTATAAAATTCCCCATTTTGATAAGATTGGCATTGAGCGCCCCAAGACAAATGCAATGCGCAAAGGGCAAATAAGCAACGAATAGGCTTACATTTTTACAAATATCTCATTCTTATCATACATAAATTGCTTGCATGGATAAAACCTGGTGATCCGCCCATAAAGGTTTATTGGTAACATGTACATAAAACTTTACAATGCCCATTAAAAAAAGTGCATTATCATTATAACCACAAAAATCTTAAATGTATATAAACATAAATTTATAACATTTATAAATTATATTTATTTATATAAATTTATCGTTTGATTCAAGTTTCACCAAGGAGGGATGGATTTTCCAAAAAGTGCAAAAGAGCCCTGAAATATAGTTGAACAAAGTATTTTGAAAATGAGTTTGAGGCCGATTGGATGGTAAACAAAAAAGTTTCATACAAACGTTTTTCGCGATTTTTCCATACTTGCGGGCGGAATTTCTCGAAACCCCGTCTTAACGTGCACCTTCAATAGTTTTATATATAGACATAAAACTTAGTAATAACAATAATTATAATAGTAAAAGCAACGTAGCAAATATATTTACTTAAGTTACCGCTTGGGGCGACGGAGTTTTGAAATCTTTGAACCACAAGATAAGCAAAACAGGGTCAAAGTTTTGGCTTTTTTTAAATAATAGCAGTTATTTGAAATATATGGAATGTGTTTTGCAAGTTTGATTTGGGTATCTCAGCGTCGGATCAAAAATAGAGGTTGCTGCTTCGACTCCAATAGCAATTGTCAACATGTTTGTTTTTGTTAATCTTGACCTGACCGGATATTTACTAGTATTCAATACTTGATTTAACCGCAATTATACATACACAATTTTATAGAAGTTATACATTAAAGAAAAATCAAGCAAGTAGCTTGTGGAATTTTAAAAGTTCATATACCATATAGTCATGTTGACTGCTCTTAACCAACCGTATCGAAATAGAATCGTATATCTGAAGTTATATTTTTATGCCCAGTTTGGGCATTTTAGTGGGTGCCAATGTGACACATTTATGCGACAATTGGCGGATTATCATGTGGCTAGCATTGTGTTGGCCCTGAGTGTATGTTGGCGTCTGTGTAAGTAATATTGATTGGCTATCCAATTTGCATATAATTTATTTTCAATTGTTGTGACATTTTGTGCCACTGTTGTTGCTCTGGACAGGTTACCACAGTCGTGGGAATGTGCTGTCTGGTTGCAAGTTGCGAGTGTTGATTGTTGCTTGTCGCTAACGACAAATCTTGAGGCCTGGCTCACTAGTACTAGTACTTGGGCCAAACTTTCACTCGATTGTGGCCTGGCTTAGTCGATAATTAAGCCATCTTGTGGCAGTGGCAGCATTGTTTATCTGGCCGCAGACAATGGCTGCATCTAGCTGCTATCTGTGGCAAATAGCTCTGGCCGCGGCGCACCTTCTATTAATGAGGTGGCCAACTTTATTTAACTACAACTACAGAGTCCCGAATCATGTAGCTGAGAGTCTGTGACGAGCGGTAAAAGTGGGGTTTGTTGCCTTTTGGCCTTATTTCTGTTGCAATACTAAATGCCAATTTAGCCTGGATGCGAATTCAAGCATTGAGTCTTTGCCGCTGTCGCTGCTGCTGCTCAGGTGCTAATGCCTGCCCGAGTTTGTCACGCTAACCGGCTGCTAACCAGCTGAGGCCGATGAGGCCCCAAAAACCGGTTCCATGTTGGCATATGAAATCGATGTGACGATCTTGTGGGCCCAGCCGCATTTTCGCGCCAGTCTGTAAGTTGCCGGTCGCGAGTTGTGCGAGCGCCATTCCATAAAATATATATATATATATATATATATACATATATATATATATATATAAATTTGAATATCTCAATTGTATAGATTCATATATATATGTATATATATATATATATATATATATATATATATATATATATATATATATATATATATATATATATACACTGGAAAAAACTGTCATTGAACTCCTTTTATTACTATAAGAACAATCAACATTGTATTTTTCACATAGGTACAATAACTGGCTATAATGGGCGATCAACCGAAGAAGAAGGATCCTGTCCCGGTGGAGAAGACAGCCGATCCAATTATCTCCCAGATCGGCGACTTTAAGCGTTATCAGTTCTGGTTTTGTATGCTGATATTTTTAAGTAAATTTGGCACTGGCTGGCACACACTGGCACACATATTTTTGGCGGCCCCCACCCCCCTTAGTTGCGCAACACCAAACGTGACAGATGCGTGCAGCGACGACTGCGATAACATCGATTTCGACACAAGCGTATTTGAGACCACCATAGTTACAGAATGGAATCTTACCTGTAAAAAATCTAGTTTGGCCAGTATGTCACAATCCATTGTTATGGCTGGCATTATGTTTGGCAGTATTGTCTTTGGCATGATCGCAGATCGGTAAGCTATACACAATATACCTTTATATATTTATATAATTATTTACGTATATATATTTGCAGTTGTGGTCGTCGTCCTGCATTTTTGGGCTGCTGCTTCATGCAGCTAGGCGCTGGCTTGATCGTCTGTCTGTCCCCGTATTTTTGGTTCTACTGTCTCTTCAGATTTCTGACGGCTTTTGCCACAGGCGGCACCATGACAACCAGGTAAAGTGCAAACCACACTCACTAACTTTAATGGCAAAGAGCTAGACAGAATGCCTTTAACGGTTTACCGAAGATTTAATATACTATAGTGAAGATAATTAATCAATCCAAAAGCAATATGACCTTAATATTATGTCAAGCTGTGTAATAAGGACTTGGCTTTTTGCCATCCAATAAAATATACATAATAAATATATCACATGAAATATTTATAGCTGGTATCTCCCGGCGTTCCCCTATTGAAGTTTTTTCTTACAACTTGAGATAATAATAACAATCTATTTACTGACTGTGCAAAATTTATATCTGAAGTTCCAAATCTCAGTTTTAGACTGTTGATATAAAATAAGTTTGACGTCCACAAAAAAGTTAGAATCAATGTTTTCCGCCCATTTTAGTCTCTTGTTACGAAGCTTGAACCCATATAACAAACTTTTTCATTGACCCATAACCCACTTTGTGGTCGTATTTTGAGAAATGTGTGAAACACTTCGTAAATGTTAAAAAATCATTGAATATTAGTTTCAAGCTTCAAGCCGTTTCCTCTAATTTTCCACTCTTGCGGGTGGAATTCGCCAAAAATTCTAACAGAAAAAATGCAGATGTGCATTGATCACCAAGCAGTCTGTAAGTCGAATATATGTAGTTATCTAGTCTATATCAAAACTGATTTGAAATTTTTCAATGTGCTTCACGATGCCTGGCGAAATGAGTGTTTATGTTTATGTAGGTTTGGTTAGAAAGTAAGGAAATCTACCTTTAATTAAACTTTTGAAATACTGCAATTTTGGATTAGATTTGAATTTAATTATCGTTTTTCTTGCTTCTCTCTCTCTCTCCCTCTCGCTCTCTCTCTCTCTCGCTCTATCTCTCTCTCTCTCTCTCTCTATCTCTCTCTTTCTCTCTCTCTCTCTCTCTCAACAGCTTTGTGCTCATCATGGAAATAATAGGACCGAAGAAACGCGAACTAGTTGCAATTCTGTATCAGATACCATTCAATATTGGCCACGCCTCCCTGGCGATATTTGCCTACTTTATACGCACCTGGCGCTGGTTTCAGTTCGCCGTGACAATATTTTCGGTCGTGTTCGTGCTCTACATATTCCTGGTGCCCGAGTCTCCACGCTGGTTGTTTACGACAGGACGTGTGGATGATTCCATAAAGATATTGGAAAAGATAGCTAAAAGAAACAATGCGCCCACCGAAACCATCCGTCCGGAGATAGAGGCCGGCTATAAAGTGCTGGCTGCCAAAACGCCTACAAAAAAGGGTAACGTGATCGATCTTTTTCGAACGCCCTTTTTGCGTGTGAAGACCTTTTGCATGCTCGTTCTTTGGATGGTGATTTGCATGGTCTACTATGGCACCGCCCAGTATATATCCAAACTGGGTGGCAATATATTCCTTAACAACCTAATCGCCGCTGGGCTAGGTATACCCGGTACTCTGCTCTGTGTGGTCTTGACTAAGTATTTGGGTCGCAAGATTACAATGATGCTGTCCAATGCGCTTAGTGCAATTGGCCTGTTAGCTTTGGTGTTTCTGACTAATATCGATATGCGGATTCAGGTGGCCTGCGCCACACTAGGACTATTTGGTGCGTCGATATCATTTCCCAATGTGTATCTATGGGGCGGTGAGATATTTCCGACTGTGGTGCGCTCGAATGGTATGGGCCTGTGCTCTATGATTGGCCGTATTGGTGGTCTGCTAGCACCGCTCATCTGTGATCTGGCCCACTTTCGGGCATGGCTAACACCACTCATATTCGGCCTCTTCTCGGTAGCGGCCGTGATTTGCAGCATCCCTTTACCAGAGACACGCGGCGCTCTCCTGCCGGAGACGTTGGAGGATGGTGAAAACTTTGGACGCAAGGCAAAGGAGTAACTGCAAATTTTGCGCAAGTGTAGAAATTCCGAAGTATATCAGACTACTGCACAAGCCAAGTTCACAGCTTCAGCAAAGTCTGTGATATATATATTTGGCCTAAAATGCCAGCAACAAAGAAAAAAAAGGTTTACAAATGTTAAATGTAATCGCTGCAAAATTAATACAGTTGTTATTATTAAAACCAGGTTGATCTCTTTTATTTTTCCCGTTTTTACTGCTATGCCTAGCCGCAATAACAGTTAATCACGTTTTCACCAGTTAATGCGAAGTTCAGTTCGGTTAACAAGTTGGTAAGATAAATTTTTTTAAATAATTCGCGTATACAATCCACAGACACAGACTTTTATAAATAACTTTGTTTAGTTTAGGCTTGCGATACTTTATAGCAACAAACATATTTGATAGCTAGAGATACTTCCTATTTAGCCTATATATATTTAGAGCATAATGAAACTAGTAATTGCTGAGTTTGTTCAAATATACAAGAACCTACTTTTCGATCGATCGTTCATATGGCAGCTGTATAATATAAAGGTCCGATCAGGCCTTTTACGACATTCATACATGTATGTACATATGTACTGCCTGCAGCGGAAAAACGGACCTCTGCAATGTTTAAATACGTTAGGTTAAAAACGGAGAGGCTAGTTCGCATAGAAATATATACTTTATGAGGTTAGAAATGTCTGCTTCACATTTCATGGCAAAATTGCAATACCTTCTACAAAGGTATTGTAAGGTAATTAATATTTATCGATAATTTGCTTAACAGCAAACAAGGTAGAGGACTGCACTGAAATGAATCGCTTAAGCACCATGTATATCGATTACTGTCACATGCTGATTAACACGTACACAAGTAAAAAAACAGCTGAAAAGCCCACTCAAGGTTAATATCATTGTCAACTTTTGGCACGCCTCGTTTATATGCAACACTTGGTACTCCATGTCGCTGGCTGTCTGGCCGTCTGCCCGCTGACCGCGCACATCTCGTGCCAACCGCAGAGCTGAGCGTCCGCAGTCAGGAGTCGGTCAGTCGCCGTCGGCACTTGATTACATGGTGCGGCTTTCAGGCTGCGCTGCTGAAATCGCCACTCAAGCGCAGGCCAAGCATCAGCTCTGAGATTCCGTCGCCAGTCGCCCTGTCTGGGCAGTCAATCAGTTGGGGGCAGCCGCCGGCCGCCGGCCGCAACTGTGTCCGGCGACCGACTGGGTCCCAAGTTTTTAGCGTCATCGGCACTGGCAGCTTGTCATGTTAGCCGTACGAAAACTGTCAGAATTCGAGTTGAAGTTGGCGTTCAGCTTGCTGCCTCGATGCACATCACCAGATCCAGACCCAGACCCAGACTCAGACCCAGGTTCCAATCCCAGTTCCAGTTCAAGTTTAAGTCCAAGTCCGAGTTTTCGACCCGAACTCACTCCAAGTCCCAGCGTCGGCGTCGCATTTTTAATCAGCTACGGCGTGTTTTAGTGATAATTACCAGACATATTTGTTGCCTGCTCCTGTTCTTGCCTGCGTGCCTTTTTCTACAGCTTCTACTGTTCCTGCTGTATAATTAATTACAAGTGCAGCGCTGATGTTGTGCCTGGTCAATTATTCATTGGCTCTGCTGCTGTTGCTTTTTTTTTTAATTTCTGGCTCTGATTCTCCCATTCACATATATTGCTCCAAATTCACCGACAAAAACGATATTTTTGCAATTTTGGCAGTAACTGGCAGCAAAGAGAAAAGTCGTGATTAACAACTATTCCAATAGTAAGCATAAACAGAAATTTTGTCAAAAATTATGGAACACTAATAAAAACGCGGCTTCTTCAGGCACGTGTCTATATATTCTCATTTTTCATTTTATTGTTTTCTATTTAAATAAAAATTTGGTAGTCCCGCTGTAGAAACAAAACCATGCATTTCGACTTTGTTTTCATACCCTGAACCCATTAAAAATGGTTATAAGGGTATATTGTATTTGTGCAAAATCCAAATTTATGTAACAGGCAGAAGGAAGCATCTCCGACCCCATAAAGTATATATATTCTTGATCAGCATCAATAGCCGAGTCGACCTAGCCATGTCCGTCTGTCTGTCTGTCTGTCCGTCTGTGTCCGTATGTATGAACGCAAGGATATCAGAACCTATAAGAGCTAGAGGCTTGAAATTTTAGATGTAGTGCCTAGTGCCCGCTCAGATCGAGTTTGTTTCCGATAATCGATAACTTACTCCGTTTTCAAGCAATCGATAAAAATCGATATCGATATCCTGTTTTTTGGCCAATTTTGGTAAATAATAAGAGCTAGAGTCACCAAACTTGACATATAGCTTTTAAAATAGAATATATATATGCATTTGATGCTGGAAGAAGAGGGTTCAGGGTATCCCTTAGTCGGGAGCTCCCGACTAGAACCTCTTACTTGTTTAATTTATCTTTATTACATTAAACTTGCTTTGAGCAACTAAAATTTTATTTTAAAAATTAAAAAAAAAATTGTAATACAAAAAATAAATGCACTTTATCTGTAAAATTATTCTGGAGCACAAACCAATAAGAAATATGCAAATTACTTGACTTTTCGCAATTTTAGGGCCGTGTGTTTGAGGCTATTCAATATTTCTACAGTCAGAAAAAATATGAAATTCGTCAGCATAGTTAGGAAAGATTGAATTATATAAAAGATGAAATAAAATTCATAATTTAAGAAATATAGTTTCTGAACTTAGGCAGAAGGACGCCTAATTATAGCGAAATAAAACCTAGTTAATAGGAATGTTTTTGGAACTAGGAAAACCCGAGCGTAAAATAGAGCTCTCTCTTTTTTGGAAGTGTATGCATTGTTGTTGTGTGTCAGCTAAAATGGTAGGCAGCAAGTCCTGGCAAGGCAATGTTAAAATACCTGACACTTGGTTAAAGCTGAAAAGGCCAGCACAAAAGCAGTTTGCCATTTTGCTAACATATGGCAAATTTGCCTGCTGACTGCATGTCAACAACAACAGCAACAACAACAGCAACAACAACAGCAGCAAAACCCATTTAAGTTCAAAGCGCGACAACCGCCGGAGTCAGGAATTGCAGTTGCAGTTGGAGCTGGAGCTGTAGCTGGAGTTTGGCCTGCCAGCTGAGCCGATCATTATCTGAGTCGCATATCTATTTGCGATTACCAAGAGCAGGCGCAGGCAGACATGCAGGCAGCCAGCCATGGCGGGGCAGGTCGGGTCTGTCAGTCGTGGGAGTCTGTCGGCGGAATTGGCAACGTGGTGGCACAACGTCAACGTGGGCGCTGCAAACAGACAAATGTCAAAATGAGGCGCTTTGTTGTTTATCATATTTACCGCAAGGCAGGCAGCCAACAACCACAACAACAATATCGTGCCCCAAATGCAATTAGTATTCAAATGTAGACGCGCCAAAGACGAACACAAAGCCAAAACGAGTCATCATCAACTTGGCACAAAAGTCTTCTCTCTTTTGCCGCCAGGGGAGTTGGCGAGGAGGTGCAGCGCGGGCTGCGCTGCTTATACGCTAAAAAATGCGTCTAGTTTGTTTTTTACCATTTTTTATACCCTGAACCCATTAAAACTGGGTATAAGGGTATATTGTATTTGTGCAAAATCCAAATGTATGTAACAGGCAGAAGGAAGCTTCTCCGACCCCATAAAGTATTCTTGATCAGCATCAATAGCCGAATCGATCTAGCCATGTCCTTCTGTCTGTCCGTCCGTCCGTCCGTCCGTCCGTCCGTCCGTCCGTATATATGAACGCAAGGATTTCAGAACCTATGTATAAGAGCTAGAGTCTTGAAATATTAGATGTAGATGCTCCTAGTTCCCGCGCAGATCGAGTTTGTTTCCGATAATCGATAACTTACTCCGTTTCCAAGCAATCGATAAAAATCGGTACCAATATCCTGTTTTTTGGGCAATTTTGGTAAAAAATAAGAGCTAGATTCACCAAACTTGACATATAGCTTCTAAAATAGAATATATATATATATATATATATATATATATATATATATATATATATATATATATATATATATATATATATTTGATGTTGGAATAAGAGGGTTCAGGGTATCCCCTAGTCGGGAGCTCCCGACTAGAATCTCTTACTTGTTTATGTATATTTTTTCAGAATTCGTTGTAATTTAGCGCACGCATTTTGCATTTTAAATGCTGGCCACATTCTGATTAATTCCAACAAATTCGTTTGACTAATTGCGACTAGAACGGCACTGAGACTGAGCCAGGTGCAGGACGGGGAGGGGGATGGATTCTGTGTAACTGCACACCTTTAGCGGGCCGCAATTAAATGAACTGAGACCTAGAGCTCGGGCCCGTCGCAACGATTTAATGCATGATTTTGTCTCCTTTTCAAATCATCTCTACGTGACTTCTGCTTATCAGCATGAGCCACGGACTCGCCCGGTTCGATAGAGTGTGCCCGCGGCATTTGCCTCAGATGATTCAATATGGCCACTCGCTGCATATTAAGCAGCTCATGCATAGCGACTCGAATATGGACTCTCTGTCCAGTCTGGCTGTTGCATAACCATAAAGAAAGTCAACGCATTGCGTTGAGGGCGCCATTAAATGTGTTGCCCCCCCATTCACCACTCAATCCATCTCTCTCAGTTACTCGCTTTTTTTCTATCTCCCTCGCTCCCTGTTGGCCAGCTCAGTTGTAAATTTAACAACCGAGTTATGACAACTGCCAGCAATTAAAATTGACAATTGATACGACAGACAACAGAGAAAGAGACACAAAAAATATATAAAAGCTGATGCGGGGGTAATAAACGACGTTGTATGTATTTTTATGACTGATAGGCTCCTAGGCAGACGCATGTTTACACGGGGCCAAGATTCTGATTTCCCCTATTCGCAAGTTTACACGTGGCCAAGATTGTGATTCCTGTTGATGGGTTACTCAGATTTTAAATTACAGTTTCGTAAGTTAATATAATTGGAACAGTAACTCGTTAATAATTGTAAAGAAAATCCACCTCCATTTTCTTTAAATAAAAGATATATTAAATAAATTAAAATACAAAAATTACAATTTTGTATTGTTTCCAAACAAAAGGAAAAAAGTTGAAAGTTAACAAAAACACATCTGAAGCTATACTCTACAGCACATTTCATGAATGCACATATGATTTAGTAGAGTTTTAATCAAAGTGCAATTTT